GTTAGGTCATTTTTAGGCCAATAAAAGTTGGTGGCCTAGAAAACCCAATTTGCAAAAGTTAGGCCACCAGGCTAATATGACAAAAAAAGAAAAAAAAACTTACGTCGCTTCACTTCCTGCAAACAAAGGATACCGCCGGAAGTCCGTTTTTGCCACGCTGGCCAGGGGACGATAGAATTCACAGAGCTAAAAAAAGGCAATTTTTAATTAGCTTCAATTTTCTCAATTTCTAGAAAAGATTCAAATTTTTTGTCAATTAGTAAAAAGTGTAAAATTCAATTTCACACATTTTATTAATTTACCAATTTTTTGTATCTGTACTGAAAGCCGAGATAATTAAGGCTAATTAAAAAGTAATTACCTCATCCTCTGTATATCTGTCCAAGAGTCCATTACTCAATGTATTTCCAGTTTACGGGCTTCACCATCATTCCGGAAATACCAGAATCTTCCGAGAATGTTTCCTCGCCATCCGACATGGACTGAAAGTTACGAATTTCAGAAATTTTGAAAAAAAACACCCAAAGTATGAAATTCAGAAATTCAGAAATTCAGAAATTCAGAAATTCAGAAATTCAGAAATTCAGAAATTCAGAAATTCAGAAATTCAGAAATTCAGAAATTCAAAATTTCAGAATTTCAGAAATTCAGAAATTCAGAAATTCAGAAATTAAGAAATTCAGAAATTCAAAATTTCAGAANTTCAGAAATTCAGAAATTCAGAAATTAAGAAATTCAGAAATTCAGAAATTCAGAAATTCAGAAATTCAAAATTTCAGAATTTCAGAAATTCAGAAATTCAGAAATTCAAAAATTCAGAAATTCAGAAATATAGAAATTCAGAAATTCAGAAATTCAGAAATTCGGAAATTCAGAAACTCAGAATTTCAGAAATTCAGAAATTCAGAAATTCAGAAATTCAGAAATTCAGAAATTCAGAAATTCAGAAATTCAGAAATTCAGAAATTCAGAAATTCAGAAATTCAGAAATTCAGAAATTCAGAAATTCAGAAATTCAAAATTTCAGAATTTCAGAAATTCAGAAATTCAGAAATTCAGAAATTAAGAAATTCAGAAATTCAAAATTTCAGAATTTCAGAAATTCAGAAATTCAGAAATTAAGAAATTCAGAAATTCAGAAATTCAGAAATTCAAAATTTCAGAATTTCAGAAATTCAGAAATTCAGAAATTCAAAAATTCAGAAATTCAGAAATATAGAAATTCAGAAATTCAGAAATTCAGAAATTCGGAAATTCAGAAACTCAGAATTTCAGAAATTCAGAAATTCAGAAATTCAGAAATTCAGAAATTCAGAAATTCAAAATTTCAGAATTTCAAAATTTCAGAATTTCAGAAATTCAGAAATTCAGAAATTCTGGAATTCTGGAATCCTGGTATTCTGTAATTCAAAAAATCTGAAAATTCTAAAAATTCTTAAAAAACTAACAAGAAGAAGTGTCGATGGTCATTCTCTGCTGTCGAACTTCCTTGTATCCTTCAACTCTCCGGACAGTTGCTCCTCTCAATCCTTCACGTGTCCCAATCATCGGAAATTCACATTTCTGGCATTCGTTGGATCCTTTCCGAAGACTGAAATCCATAAAATCGGAAATTGGTGAATCCGAGGATTCTCTTTGATCGATACGGTTCGTTCTTCGGACGAAGAGTCGCATTTGGTTCTTCTCGCTGTTGTATTCTGAAAAAAGAATTTCAGATTTTTTGAATTTCAGAATTCCTACATCTCCGAACATTAGAATTTCAAAATTTCGGAACTTCAGATTGCTGATATTTTTCATACCAGTCGGTTCTTCGGGGGCTGAACCTCCTGGCCTCCGGTCGCCCACCACCATCCCCTTTCTGCCCACCACCCTTTAGCGTGGTGAAACCAAGGAACGTCTCCAGAAGACTTCAAAATCAAAATTTCGAAAAACCAAACGTTTGGGCATCAAATAAGACACTATTGTGATCTATCTGTCTAGGTTTCAGCTTGATCGGTTTACTTTGAATAGGTGATAAGGTGCGCTACATACATACGCACATGCAGAATCTGGTGAATGTGATTAGTAATGATAATGATTTTGATCATTTACCTAGACAACCAAGATAAATTGGCTCCATTACAGGTTTTACAAAGTCTTCGAAAATCCAAAAAAAAAATCCAAAAACATACCAACAAACCGAACTCTCGAAGTTCTCTTCCTCTTGGGCATATCCCGTTGCTCCGCCCACTCCTTCTCCTGCTCCCTAGTTGGCTTCTGTCCAAAATGCGTGGCAACTCGTCTCTGGACTCCAAGAGCCTCAAAATCAATGGTAGCGTTTCCAGGAGCCTCAAAATCCGGGGAGCTCTCATATGAGTATAGATGCTCTTTGGAGAGCAGCGATGGCTTCCAAATGTCCAATTTCGAGAGGCTTTCTTCTTGTTCCGTTGGTTGTAACAGGTACTGTAGCTCCTCCACCGTACCATCATACTCCTCCTCGTCTCCGAAGAATCTTCTGCGTCTTCTTGGATGTCTAGAACTTTCTCCATTTCCTCCTACTTCTTCTTCGTCTATTGGATCCGCTGGATTTTCCAAAAAATCGCAGAGAAGATAACTGTACATCTCATTGAGCTGTTTGACTTGTTCCAGGGTGACACGGACGCGTTCCGGACTTGTGTCTCGTGGTCGGTCCGAGATGTGGTCCATGGCAGTGTTCTGGGAAATTTTCGAATTTTTGAATTTTTTGAATTTTCAAATTTTCGAACTTCTGAATTTCAAAAAATAAGATGTACCTTGACCAACTGAGCCAATCCATCATCCGCAATGTTCAATTTTTGAACAGAAGCCATGGTTTCTGCCTCAATCTTCTTCCATTCCGCTTCTCGGATCCTAAAAACAAATTCATATAAATTTTGGAGTGCCAAAAATATTGATTTTCAAGTTTCAGCTCTGAAAAAGCCGCTAAAATAATGCTTAAAAAATGTCCTTTTTGTATTTACTGTAAGTCATATTTGAGCCTATCTCATTTTCTGTGAAAGATATCAAAAAGTTGCCAACTGATAAAATGCTGCTGATATCATGATAAGCATTTCATCAGTTTACAACTTTTTGATATCTTTCAAAAGAAGTGAGCTATATAGGCTCAAATGAACTTTTTTCCAGATCAATTTTTTCGATTTTTGAACCGATTTTCATAAATTTCAGACCGTTTTCTCACGAATTTTGGACCATTTTTCATAAATTTTAGACCATTTTTCATAATTTTTGAACCAATTTTCATGAATTTTTGACAATTTTTCAGCTCGAAAAACTCTGCTTTAAAGCCTGAAAATTGCAATTTTTCGTATAAAAATTGCTCACTTTCTCTGTTCAATTGCTTGCTCCAAAAATTTGGAGCCATCAAATGCCTTGGCCGCAAGACGTATCGATTTTTCTCTCATTTCTTCAAACAGCTTTCCAATTCCATCGATTTTTGTTTCTTGAGGGATGAGGGTCATTTTCTTGAGTGATTTGATCACTGATTGCTCGAAAAAGACTAGCCAATCGTGAATTTCGACACTCTTTTCGGTATGTTTCTCCAACTTGAGTTTCTTGTGTTTTTCAGCCACAAAGTACAGTAAGGCGCCGGGAGCTGCAAAAAATGGTTGATAGACAAAAAATTGGAAATTTCACTGTCGAATAAGGCTCCGGGACATTTCATAACCCGACGTTTCGAAAACCCGACGTTTCATAACCCGACGTTTCAAAACCCGACGTTTCATAACCCGACGTTTCGAAAACCCGACGTTTCATAACCCGACGTTTCGAAAACCCGACGTTTCGGAACCCGACGTTTCGGAACCCGACATTTCATAACCCGACGTTTCAAAACCCGACGTTTCGAAAACCCGACGTTTCGAAAACCCGACGTTTCGGAACCCGACGTTTCGAAAACCCGACGTTTCGAAAACCCGACGTTTCGGAACCCGACGTTTCGAAAACCCGACGTTTCGAAAACCCGACGTTTCGGAACCCGACGTTTCGAAAACCCGACGTTTCGAAAACCCGACGTTTCGGAACCCGACGTTTCATAACCCGACGTTTCGAAAACCCGACGTTTCGGAACCCGACGTTTCGGAACCCGACGTTTCGAAAATTGATAGTTTGGGTGGGCTTCTATTAGAGGGAATACGGTGTCTTCAAAATCAACTTTTCAAAATCTCACTTTTGATTTTCTTCATATCCTCCGCAAAATGTTCGTTTCCATCTACAAAATGGTCCACAATTTGGTCCAGCAACTTTTTGAAGCGCTCATTTTTTGAGCGATCTGGGAACCATCCCTCTGGTTCCAGAGATGCTTTCAGAGACTTTGGACGAGTTTCTTCTGGAAAAAATACTTTTTATTGATTTTTGGCTCAATTTTCATGATTTTGCAACTAATTTTACTAAACTTTCAAACCAGATTTTCATGATTTTCCAACTAATTTTTCTAGGTTTTTCAACCAATTTGTATGTTTTTTGTAGTTAATTTTCAGTATTTTCCAGTCATTTTCAATGATTTTTTGGATAATTAAATTTCCGGATTTTTAGTCAATTTTTCTATATTTTTGAACCAAATTTTCAGATCATTTTAAAATGCTTTTTAACCAATTTTTCACGATTTTTGAGTCAATTTTCATGATTTTTGAACTTTTTTTTTCTAGATTTTCAGAACAATTTTTGAGCCATTTTCACAACTTTTTGATATATTTTTAAAAGTTTTCAGATGATTCTCATTGTTCGACAAGATTTGAAAAGACTCAAATTTTATGAAAAAATGGTTCAAAATTCCTGAAAATGGGCCAAAATTCATGAAAAATGGTTCGAAATTCATGAAAAATGGTCTAAAATTCATGAGAAATGGTTCAAAATTCATGAAAAATGGTCCTAAATTCATGAAAAATGGTCCTAAATTCATGAAAAATGGTCCTAAATTCATGATTTCTGAGTCATTTTTCAAGATTTTCAGACCAGATTTTCAGACCCAAACTCCTACCAATTAACCTCTCGCGGCTTATCCGTTCTGCTTCTTCTTCTCTCTCTTTTCTCATATTTATTGCTCGTTTCCTCTCTTCTTTCTCTTTTTCCATCGACTCTTTTCTCATTTTTTCCTCATCTTCCGGACTCATTTCATCTTCGGGCTCCATGAGATTCTCAAAGTCAAAATCAAAATCCATGACTTCTGGGGATTTCTGAAAAAAATTTAGTATTTGGAGATTTTTTTTTGGGAACGGAAAAGTGAAATATTAGAAGGACCATGCGTTTTTAAGCTTAAAAATCTTAATTTTGGTTTGGAATCGCTCGTTTATGGTTCAATATTCATGAATTTTGACCCATTTTTCATGAATTTTGAATCATTTTTCATAAATTTTGGACCATTTTTCATGAATTTTGACCCATTTTTCATGAATTTTGAACCATTTTTCATAAATTTTGGACCATTTTTCATGAATTTTGGATCATTTTTCATAAATTTTGAACCATTTTTCATGAATTTTGGACCATTTTTCATAAATTTTGGACCATTTTTCATGAATTTTGGATCATTTTTCATGGATTTTGGACCATTTTTCATGAATTTTGGACCATTTTTCATGAATTTTGGACCATTTTTTATGAATTTTGGACCATTTTTCATGAATTTTGGATCATTTTTCATAAATTTTGGCTTATTTTTCATGAATTTTAACTAATTTTTCATAAATTTTGGACCATTTTTATACATTTTGCGTCATTTTTCATGAATTTCGGACCACTTTTCAGCTAATTGTAAAAAATATGATTCGTGTTTCTAAAAATCAAGAAAACATTTTTTTTGAGTAGATCAAAAAATCCAAAAAATTCTCAATTTTGGGGTCAAAAACAGGCCAAAATTTTGAGAAATTATGTCTGATTTTGATGATTAAAATTTGCAATTTTTGTGGAGTTTGGCTTTAAAATCTAACTTGGCTTTGAGAAACATTTTTCCCCACTTCGGATGGATTTTTTGACAAATTTAACCCAAAATTTTGAATTGTTCGGGTCCTAATTACCCTAATTGCCCCAACAAATTAATCTAAATCGCTTCTTAAAATCTAGAAAATTTGAAAAAGAAACAGAATTTGGAAAAGAACAAGCAGAGAAAAAAAGTCGCGAACGCTGGAAGAGGATGAAGAAAAAGAAGAAGAGAGGAGCAATGACCTGTACTCTGCGTCTCTCCCTCTCTCTCTCTCTCGTTTCGCGTCACTCGTTTTCTCCGCGTGTCTCCAAATTTCATACACTCTCTCACTTTGGGTTCAGGCAATGCATATTTTACGAGGTCAAAAAAGAGAGGACAAGAAAATGGAAGAAAAAGAGATGGGTTGACTTTGAGCTCAATTATCTCGATTCCTAGGCAAAATATCAAAATTGTGTCAACTGATAAAATGTTTGTGATATTCTGATAAGCAATTTATCCGTTGACAAATTTTTCATATCTTTCACAGGAACCGAGATAAATTGGCTCCAAATTAAATGTTAGAATTACAGGTTTAAAAAAAATCGAACCTTTTTTGTATAGATATGGGTTTTGAAAATATTTGAATCATGTATTTCTCACTTTTGAAACTCCAAGAAAATCAAAAAAAACCCAATGAAACGATAACGAGAGAGTGAAAAGAACAGGAGATTTAGAGAAAGAGGGGGGGAGGGAGGGGTCATCTGAAGAGGAGGCACATTTCTGAATTTCTGAATTTTTGAATTTCTGAATTTCTGAATTTTTGAACTTCTGAATTTCAGAATTTCAGAATTTTTGAATTTCTGAATTTCCGAATTTCTGAATTTTTGAATTTTTGAATTTCTGAATTTCTGAATCTCTGAATCTCTAAATCTCTGAATTTCTGAATTTCTGAACCTCTGAATTTCTGAATTTCTTAATTTCTTAATTTCTGAATATCTGAATTTCTGAATTTCTGAATTTCTGAATTTCTGAATTTCTGAATTTCTTAATTTCTGATTATCTGAATTTCTGATTATCTGAATTTCTGAATTTCTGAATTTTTGACATTCTGAATTTCTGAATTTCTGAATTTTTGAATTTCTGAATTTCTGAATTTTTGAATTTTTGAATTTCTGAATTTCTGAATCTCTAAATCTCTGAATTTCTGAATTTCTGAACCTCTGAATTTCTGAATTTCTGAATATCTGAATTTCTGAATTTCTTAATTTCTGAATTTCTGAATTTCTGAATTTCTGAATTTCTGAATTTCTTAATTTCTGATTATCTGAATTTCTGAATTTCTGAATTTTTGAACTTCTGAATTTCTGAATTTCTGAATTTTTGAATTTCTGAATTTCTGAATTTTTGAATTTTTGAATTTCTGAATTTCTGAACCTCTGAATTTCTGAATTTCTGAATTTCTGAATTTCTGAATTTCTTAATTTCTGAATATCTGAATTTCTGAATTTCTGAATTTCTGAATTTCTGAATTTCTGAATTTCTGAATTTCTGAATTTCTTAATTTCTGATTATCTGAATTTCTGAATTTCTGAATTTTTGAACTTCTGAATTTCTGAATTTCTGAATTTTTGAATTTCTGAATTTCTGAATTTTTGAATTTTTGAATTTCTGAATTTCTGAATCTCTGAATCTCTAAATCTCTGAATATCTGAATTTCTGAACCTCTGAATTTCTGAATTTCTGAATTTCTTAATTTCTGATTATCTGAATTTCTGAATTTCTGAATTTTTGAACTTCTGAATTTCTGAATTTCTGAATTTCTGAACCTCTGAATTTCTTAATTTCTGATTATCTGAATTTCTGAATTTCTGAATTTTTGAACTTCTGAATTTCTGAATTTCTGAATTTTTGAATTTCTGAATTTCTGAATTTTTGAATTTCTGAATTTCTGAATTTCTGAATCTCTGAATCTCTAAATCTCTGAATTTCTGAATTTCTGAACCTCTGAATTTCTGAATTTCTTAATTTCTTAATTTCTGAATTTCTGAATTTTTGAACTTCTGAATTTCTGAATTCTGAATTTTTGAATTCCTGAATTTCCGAATTTCTGAATTTCTGAATTTTTGAATTTCTGAATTTCTGAATTTCTGAATCACTGAATCTCTAAATCTCTGAATTTCTGAATTTCTGAACCTCTGAATTTCTGAATTTCTTAATTTCTTAATTTCTGAATATCTGAATTTCTGAATTTCTGAATTTCTGAATTTCTGAATTTCTGAATTTCTGAATTTCTGAATTTCTGAATTTCTTAATTTCTGATTATCTGAATTTCTGAATTTCTGAATTTCTGAATTTCTGAATTTCTGAATTTCTGAATTTCTGAATTTTTGAACTTCTGAATTTCTGAATTTCTGAATTTCTGAATTTCTGAATTTCCGAATTTCTGAATTTCTGAATTTCTGAATTTCTGAATTTCTGAACCTCTGAATTTCTTAATTTCTTAATTTCTTAATTTCTGAATTTCTTAATTTCCTAATTTCTTAATTTCTTAATTTCTGAATATCTGAATTTCTGAATTTCTGAATTTCTGAATTTCTGAATTTCTGAATTTCTGAATTTCTGAATTTCTTAATTTCTGATTATCTGAATTTCTGATTATCTGAATTTCTGAATTTCTGAATTTCTGAATTTCTGAATTTCTGAATCACTGAATCTCTAAATCTCTGAATTTCTGAATTTCTGAACCTCTGAATTTCTGAATTTCTTAATTTCTTAATTTCTGAATATCTGAATTTCTGAATTTCTGAATTTCTGAATTTCTGAATTTCTGAATTTTTGAATTTCTGAATTTCTGAATTTCTTAATTTCTGATTATCTGAATTTCTGAATTTCTGAATTTCTGAATTTCTGAATTTTTGAATTTCTGAATTTCTGAATTTTTGAACTTCTGAATTTCTGAATTTCTGAATTTTTGAATTTCTGAATTTCCGAATTTCTGAATTTTTGAATTTTTGAATTTCTGAATTTCTGAATCTCTGAATCTCTAAATCTCTGAATTTCTGAATTTCTGAACCTCTGAATTTCTGAATTTCTTAATTTCTTGATTTCTGAATATCTGAATTTCTGAATTTCTGAATTTCTGAATTTCTGAATTTCTGAATTTCTGAATTTCTGAATTTCTTAATTTCTGATTATCTGAATTTCTGATTATCTGAATTTCTGAATTTCTGAATTTTTGAACTTCTGAATTTCTGAATTTCTGAATTTCTGAATTTCTGAACCTCTGAATTTCTTAATTTCTTAATTTCTGAATTTCTGAATTTCTGAATTTCTGAATTTCTGAACCTCTGAATTTTCTTAATTTCTTAATTTCTTAATTTCTGAATTTCTTAATTTCTTAATTTCTGAATTTCTGAATTTCTGATTATTTGAATTTCTGAATTTCTGAATTTCTGAATTTCTGAATTTCTGAATTTCTGAATTTCTGAATTTCTGAATTTCTGAATTTCTGAATTTCTGAATTTCTGAATTTCTGAATTTCTGAATTTCTGAATTTCTGAATTTCTGAACCTCTGAATTTCTTAATTTCTGAATTTCTTAATTTCTTAATTTCTGAATTTCTGAATTTCTGAATTTCTTAATTTCTGATTATCTGAATTTCTGATTATCTGAATTTCTGAATTTCTGAATTTTTGAACTTCTGAATTTCTGAATTTCTGAATTTTTGAACTTCTGAATTTCTGAATTTCTGAATTTCTGAATTTCTGAATTTCTGAATTTCTGAATTTCTGAATTTCTGAATTTCTGAATTTCTGAATTTCTGAATTTCTGAATTTCTGAATTTCCAAAAATCAAAAGTTCAAATTTTCGTATAGCAGAGATCCTCTCCTCACCCAGGAAGGGACCCTCTAATTAGTCCATTTTTCTGATTTCTCTGCGTCTCTCACAAATTCTATACTATTTCTTTTTGTATGGAATTCATGGAATTCGAACCTACCCACAGCACTTATATTTTGAATTTAAAAAATTATTTTTCTGGAATTTTTTATTTTTTGGAACTTTTCAAGTAAGTCTTAAGTTTTAATGTTTCCAAACTTAAAAATTCGAATTCAGCGTGTTTCAAGCTTCAGGATGAGTATAATCATGACCTACTTTCTTGAAATTAAAATTTTTCGGACCCTTATGCGCCTTTAAAGTCGAAAAATTCGAAAAAAAGAAAATGGGCGGAGCCTAGTCGTGTTTAGGCTCATTTCAAAGCTCTCAGCGAGGCAAATCCAATTCTTCAATTTTTATTGAATTTGAGCCAAAACAAGAAAAATTACTGTACTTTCAAAAATGCGAGAGTGCAGAGAAACGAGACTCACTGCGTCTCTGACCAAAAGTGGGCGGAGCCTAGTCGTGTTTAGGCTCGTTTTGAAGCTCTCATTTTGCTGAATTCAAATATAGGTGTTTTTCCAGCTAGAAGTAGTTTGAAAGCTGAAATTTCAAATGTTTCAGAGTCATCAATGTCTTGAAAACACATGGATTTTTTTGGAATTTTTTTTTGGATATTCGATTTTTTTGAATTTGAAAATTTCAAAAAAAAAGGCATTCAGAAGCTGTACGGAACTTGGAAAATAGAAGGAAGGTGGGTAATAAAAAGTCGAATTCAGAAATTCAGAAATTCACAAATTTCCTAGAAATTCAGAATTTTCGAAACACTTGAAATTCAGAAACTTTGATTTCTGTAATTTCAGAACATTTCCAAATATTCAGAAAAACCCACTAGGCTCCGCCCACTTTTGGTCAGAGACGTAGTGTGTCTTGTTTCTCTGCGCTCTAGCATTTTTCAAAGTACAGTAACTTTTTCAGTTTTCGCTCAAATTCAATAAAAAAAAATTGAAGAATTGGATTTGCCTCGCTGAGAGCTTTGAAATGAGCCTAAACACTACTAGGCTCCGCCCATTTTGATTTTTTCGATTTTTTCGACTTTAAAGGCGGATAAGGGTCCGAAATTTGAGATTTTGGGAAAGTAGGTCATGATTATACTTGTTTTGAAGCGCGAGAAACGCTGAATTCAAAAATTTAAATTTTAAGAAAAGATCGAAGTTTCCTAGAAATTCAGGAATTCAAAAAAATTGATTTTTCAAAAAATATTCTCAAAAAGTTTTTTCAGATTCCCCCTACAAAGGCACAGTCAAAGACGACCTTCTGGGTAATTTTAATTGATATCCAAGATATTCGAAGGTATGCTTTTGGCGGGAATTCAAAAAATTTCAAATTTTGAAAAATCTGAAATTGGTGAATTTTGAGATTTTTAGATTCTTAAAATTTCGAATATTTTGAATTTCATTTTTTCCAGAAAAATAAAATGGAATACCGCATGATCTTCAACAAAATTTCACCAATTTTCTGCTAAATGTAAGTTTTTTTTTTAAATTTTTGAATTTTCGAAATTTCATTAAATCGAAAATTTTAATTTTTTGAAGTTTTTAAAGTTTTCAGCTCCAAGTGTATGAGAAGTTAGACCCCAAGCAGACGAGGGAGTTGATAATTTTTGTTAAATTTTCTATTTTCTTTTAAATTCAATTTTTTACTTCAATAAAATTTTTTAAATTTTGACTTTTTTAAAATTTTCTTTCAGCAGTTTCAGCAAAATGTTTTTATGAATTTTTCAGACAACCGACTTTCCAGAAATTCATTAAAATTTTAATTTTGTTTGATGAAACTGATTTGCTTGAGAAATTTTTTCGAAAAAATTAGGTTTTTCTCTATTTTAGGTTTATTTATTTGCTTTTTAACGTCTGAAATTATAATTTCGGCTGAAATTCTGCGTTTTTTGTCTTTCTTTCACCAAATTCTGCTCTCCGAACCTCAAAAAATGACAGAATTCGTTGAAAATTCCGTTGTGTCGATTTACGCTAAACAACGCGCAACCGGAATTGCGGAGCGTCGTTGCGTGACTTTTTCAACGAATTTTGGGCAATTTTTCTCGTTCTACACCCAATTTTTCTATTTTTTCCTTCAATTTTTGTCACAAAAATTTTTAACGGTGTATTTTTTTTTTATTTAATCAATAAACGACCTAAATTTCGTGAAATTTCGCCAGTTTTCAGGTGAAAAATGGAGGAGGCCATAGCGAATAGGAATTTCGACGATTTGAGGGAGCTTTTCAAGGCGGAGAAGAAGACAGTGTATGTTTTCAACTATGGAGAAACAGAATATCGTGAAAAGGTCTTGAAAAATCGCTAAAAAAGGCGGTAAATCTGAAAAAATCGATTTTCGCTCTAAAAATTGTAATTTGGCGGTTTTTCAAGTTTCCCAACGGATAAAAACTAGCTGAATACGATTTCCAGCATTTCAGCATTAAAATCACCCCCTAAAAACATGTAAAAATCTAGAAAAGTCGAACATTTCCCCGAAAAATCGAAAATTCATTTTTCCGCCAATTTCTCCCCTCAAAACGCTGAAAATCGACTTTTTCAGCAAGGACGACGAATTTGTGATAGTCAAAATCGATGGACTGCTCAAAAAGCGAGGTTATCGAGTGATGGAAGTGCCGTCGGAGCAGAAGGAGGAATTCGCGCGGCTTCATTTCAATTTTGTAATGAATTGCACTAAATTGGGTGAGTTTTCGTGGTTTTAAGAGTGAAAATACAAGAAAAAGGAGATTTTAAGCATAAAAATCACGAATGTTTGGTATAGAAGCTCTCAAACATCACAAAGTGTGTTCAAAATTTGAATTTTGACCTAAAAATCGATTTATGGCTCATTTTTCAAGGTTTTTTGCTCTCAAAAATTGAATTTTAGCCTTATTTTTACGATTCAGAGCTTAAAATCTTTGAAAATCCTCTATTTTTCAGGATACTGCTCCAAAAGCACGCCGATTCTGACTCTCCAGGACATTCTAGAAGTTTCGTCGATTGAAGAGTGCAAGCACCTATTTGGCCTAGTTGAAGAGAATATGAACGAGTTTAAGCAGGTAAAATGGCTCGAAATGGACCAAAACTTGCTAGTTTTTGAGTTTTTTAAAGTAAAAATGGACCAAAAATCATGAAAAATGGACCAAAATCTACGAAAAGTGGTCCAAAAAACATGAAAAATGGACCAAAATTCATGAAAAATGTACCAAAAATCATGGAAAATGGTCCAAAAATCACAAAAAATGGTCCAAAATTTATGAAAAATGGTCCAAAAATCATGAAAAATGGTCCTAAAACATGAAAAATGGTACAAAAATCACGAATAATACACCAAAAATCACTATTTTCTATCAAAAAATGAGGTAAAATAGCCGAAAATGGACCAAAAAGTGCTAATTTGTGAATTTTATAACGTAAAAAGGATTTTAAATCATGAAAAATGTACCAAAATCTGTGAAAAATCTTCCAAAAATCATGAAAAATGGACCAAAAACTTGAAAAATACACCAAAAATCACTATTTTCTATCAAAAAATCACCTTTTTCGGCAATTTTTAAGCTTAAAATCATGAAAAATCGGTCAAAAATTACTATTTTTCATCAAGAAAAATCGCAAATCTCTCGATTTTTTCAGCCCGGATTCATCGAAACGTACCAAAACATCATTCTCCGCCTCTGCAACGACCTTCTCCGTCGACTCAGCCGAACTGCGGAGACGTCGTTTTGTGGAAGAATCATGTTCTTCTTGTCCAGGTGAGTTTTGGAGCGTTCGGAGCATATTTTGAGCTAAAAATAGACGATTTTCCGCTGAAAAAGGGGTTTTTAGGTCCAAAAACTAGGAGAACGGTTGAAAACCTGACTTGTTGAGCCAAAAACTAACAAAAATGGTCCAAAAATCAATTTTTCTGGTCACAAATGTACTTTTTTAAAGCTCAAAATTCAAAAAATTGTTGTTTTTTGGACCTATAAACTGGAAAAAATCGATTTTTGAAGCCAAAAACTAAGAAAAATGGTCCAAAACCCATGAAATTGGAGCCTGAAATCAAATTTTTTGGGCAAAGAACCGAATTTTGGCAAAAAACCGAATTTTTGATGTCGAAAATTCGAAAACGGGTTCTGAAAATCATAAGAATGTGGGTTTTTTGGTCTAGAAACTTGCAAAAAACCCAATTTTCAGAGCTTGAAAATCGATTTTCTTGCACAAAAATGTCGATTTTTTCGATTTTTAGGCCAGAAAATGGTCCAAAAATCAGGAAATTTGAGCCTAAAACCCAATTTGCCGACCTAATAACCCCCCAAAAAATGCCCAAATCTCGCAGATTCCTCCCGCTGACCGAGAAGTCTGGTGTCAACTTTATGGGTCACTTCAACACGCTCAACATCACCACTTTTGAAGAGGTTTGTGCTCAAAATCGATGAAAAACTGTAGTTTCAGTGAAAAAATCAAGGTTTTGAGAGATTTTCGACCTAAAAATGCTGAAAAATTGCAATTTTCACTTAAAAAAGGTCGAAAATTGTCATTTTTGGCTCATTTTACATGAAACATGAAACATTTTTTTGAGAATTTGAGTGATTTTCTGCCCAAAAAAGCTCAGAAAGCAAGGGTTATGACCCAAAAATCCCCGAAAATCGTCATTTTTGGCTCATTTTACAGTGAAAAATGGAGTATTCTTTGAGAATTTGAGTGATTTTCGAGCTAAAAATGCTCGAAAATTGCAATTTTTGATCTAGAAACCCTCAAAAATTATTATTTCTAGCTCTTTTTACATGAAAAATAAAAATTTTTTACTCAAAAAACTTTGAAAATCGAGCTTTTTTGGTTTAAAAAAAGTTCAAAAATCATATTTTCCACCCAAAAAAAGTTTTAAAATCGAGATTTTTGACCTGGAAAACCTCAGAAATCGCGATTTTTCACCTAAAAATGTCCGAACATCTCGATTTTTGACCCGAAAAGCTCGAAATACGAGATTTTTGATCGAACAGACCTCAAAAATCGAGAATTTTGACTTAGATATGCCTGAAAATCGAAGTTTCTGACCTAAAAATGTCCGAAAATCGAGATTTTTCGACCCAAAAAGCTCAAAATTCATGATTTTCGATCAAAAAGAGCACTAAAAACCAGATTTTTCGACCCAAAAATCGCAAAAATCGGGTCTTTTTGACTCATTTCAACTAAAAATCGGGATTTTCAGAACGAGCCAACTGCTGAATCCCTGCTCGCCGCCACGTCATCACATCATGCAGCTACGCCGTCTGGAGCAACGCCCGGAGCCGAAGGAGAGGATATGGAGACTGGAGAGATTGAAGAGGAAGCGGCAAAGTGAGTTTTAGAGCTGAAAATTGGATTTTCAGCAGTTTTAGGCTTGAAAATCTGAAAAATGGCCAAAAAATCAGTTTTCCAAGCTGAAAAAATGCGAAAATCGTCCATTTTGGAGTGGAAAATTGAATTTTAGAGCTAAAAAAATCTGATTTTAGTGCTGAAAACTGGATTTTCAGGAATTTCTAAGCCTAAAACTGAAAATCGTGTCCATTTTCGAGCAGATAATCAGTTTTCCAAGCTGATTTTTGAGCTGAAAATCGGGTTTCTAAGCTGGTTTTCGTGCTGAAATTTGGATTTTTCAGCCATCTTTAAGGCATTTTTAAGCTTAAAAAGTCATCTGAAAATAGATTTTTATAGCTGAAAATTTCAGAGAAATCATCGTGACGCCAGAGATGTATCGACAGTTTTGGTCGCTTCAAAAGTTCATGTCCAACCCCAACTTGCTGTATGAGAAGGAGAAATTTGTGGTTTTCAAGAAGGTAAGGGGGGCGATTTGGGATTAAAAAGCTCATATTTGGCTGGAAATGCTTCAAATTCGGCTCAAAATGCTCTAAAATTGATGAAAAATGTCCTAAAATTGCTCTAAAACGTTCTGAAATTGGTGCGAAATGCTCCAAAATTGATCTGAAACGTTTTGAAAATGGTGAGAAATTCTCTAAAATGGGTTTAAAATGCCCTAAAATTGGCTTAAAATGATCTGTAATTCGTCAAAATCGGTCTAAAATGGGTCAAAAATGCTCCAAAATTCCTCTAGAACTCCCAAAATCTAGCCTAAAACCCCCTATTTTGCTCCAGGATCTCACCGCCGTGCTCTCCCTGATGACAGCCAATAAATTGGAGAAATTCGCAGCTGAAGACGAGTCAGAAGTGGCTGAAAGTCGAAAGAAGATCAACAACGACGTCTTTTTTACCAAATATTTGACGTCTCCAAAGGTAAGAAATAGCTGAAAAATACAGAAAAACTGGCCTAAATGTGTTTTCTAGGCCATTTGAAGTGGTAGTCTAACTTTTGCGAATTGTGTTTTCTAGGCCACCACTTCCAAATGGCCTAAAAATGTCCTAACATGACCCTGGTGTGTTTTCTAGGCCATTTTAGCATGGTGGCCTAACTTTGCATTTTCTAGGCCACCATTGGAAATGGTCTAAAACACTCCACAGGGGCAGGAGGGGCGGGGCTCAACTCTAACTCCGCCCCCTTTGGGAAGCTCCGCCCGCTTTTGGCCACCTTAAAAATCACAAAAATCGAATTTTTAAGAATTGATTTTCAGCTGCTGGCTCTTCAACTCAATGATTCCTCATTCCGACGGAACTTCCTCATCCAAACCATCATCATTTTCCAGTATCTGAATGCGGAGAGCAGATTTAAGCCGCCCGCCAAGTAGGTTTTTTGAAAAAAATCTTGAAATTTGGACGTTTTAAGCCTGACATGATGAATTTCCACTCAGAAATCGTTCAAATTGACCCAAAATCCCCCAAATAATCAGGAATTTTGGCTCCCAAAAATCCATTTTCAAGCTCTGAAAATGTCTTTTTTCGGCTGAAAAACGAATTTTCGACCGAAAAAAGGTTATTTTCTGCCATAAATAGCCCTTTTTAGACCCCAAAATCCCTATTTTCAGTGGAAAATAGGTCATTTTCTGCTAAAAATAGGCCATTTTCAGTCGAAAATAGGCCATTTTCAGTCAAAAATAGCCCTTTTTGACACCGAAAATTCATATTTTCAGCCTTAAAATCCCCCAAAATTCCCCTCAAAACCCAATTTTTTCCAGAAAAATGGTGCTAAACGAGGAGCAATCGAAATTCGTGCACGACTACGAGGACAAATGCTATCGTCTTCTCTCGGATACAATGCCACGTGGCACGGCGTTCGTCGCCGGACTCAAGAGGATCATGCAAAGAGAAACGGAGTGGAATCAGTGGAAGAACTCGAATTGTCCGGATTTGTCCGAAAAAGCGGATAAGGGAGCAATGCAGATGTATAAGAAGTAGGTGGAAATCTAGGAAATAATGAAATTAAAGGAAAATTGACCAAAAAATCCTGAAAAATGGTCCAAAATCCATTAAAAATGGCTCACATACCATGAAAAATGGTCCAAAATACATGAAAATGACCCACAAATCACGAAAAGTGGTTCGAAAATCTTGGAAAATGGTCCAAAAATCATGAAAAATGGTCCAAAAATCTTGAAAAAAGACCCAAAATTCCTGAAAAACGGTTCAAAAATCTTTAAAAAAAAGTCTAGAAATTCAGATTATTCGTCAATTTTGAGCCTAAAATTCTGTTTTTTTTTGACCCAAAAATGCTAATTTCATGCTGAAATTGGCTAATTTTCGATCAAAAAATGTTTGAATTTGGGACCTAAAATGTCAATTTCATCATTAAAATTCCTCAATTTTTTATCTGAAAATGACAATTTTCAGCGTAAAATTATAATTTTTTGACATAAAAAAGGCAATTTTCAGCATAAAAATCGTGAATTTTGGTTGAAAAATGTCAATTCTGAGCTATAATTCCATATTTTTTGACCTGTAAATGTTAATTTTAAGCCTTTAAAACCTGAAAATTCAGATTTTTGGACCTAAAAATGCCAATTTCGAGACTAAAATAGACAAATTTTAGCTCAAAACTCTAACAAAACCCAAGTTCCAGACGTCAACGCGTCCCATTCAACCCCAATAATTTGGATCTTGGCACTCCGGAACTCACAAAACTATGGACCTACGAACCGGACGTTCTAAAAGCCTGCAAATCGGATAAAAGGTTGGTTTTAAGAGGGTTTTTGAAGCTAAAACTGCCTTTTTAGAACTGAAAATGACCCAAAAATCTAGATTTTGAAGCTAGGAAATAGCTAGGAAGCTCAAAAAATGGGAAATTTTAGCTGCAAAAAGACCTAAAAAAGCCCAAATTTGCAGAAAATTCATTCCAACACTGGCGGATTTCATTCGGGACCCATTGGACGAAATGGACCCAGAACAGCAGGTCGAGGAGCAGTATAAGTAAGTTTTCGGCTCAAAAAATATTAAGAATAGACTGAAAATGGATTAAAAATCAAGAAAAATTGATAAAAATGACAATAAATGGCCAAAAATTCATGAAAAATAGCTGGAATTTCCTCTAAAAAATCGGTAGAAATGCATTAAATTTGATTTTTGGACCATTTTTCATGGATTTTGAACCGTTTAGATGAATTTTGGACCATTTTCATAGATTTCTGACCATTTTCCTTGGATTTTGGGTCAATTTTTGTGGATTTTGGCTCATTTTTCATGGATTTTGGACGATTTTTCAAGGATATCGGACCATTTTTCATAGATTTCGAGTCATTTTTCATGGATTTTAGACCATTTTAACCCAATTTTCCCCCGTTTTCAGATCCATCAACGAAGTATCATTCCAATGGCGTGCCGCCCGTCTCCTGATGCACAAAGCCCCTGGATACGTGTCAAAAACCGAGCCAAAAGCGGATCCAACGACGAATATGCGTGATTTTCTGGAGCGGACCATGTACAACGCCGGAAAAACCATCGACGAATTCAAGTCTGGAATCGAGGAACGAGAGAGAAGAGACGCAGAGAAACGAGCCGCGTCGGGAGAGAAAAAAGAGGCGGAGGCGAGGAAGAAGGTGGAGGAATCGCTGAAGCGGAAGTTGGATACCAATACGAAGAGTACCACGATGTGAGTGTGGTTGGAAATGGCTGAAAATTAACTGAAAAAAGCAGAAAATCGCTGAAAATAGCTGAAAAATGGCTGAAAATAGCTAAAAATTGACTGAAAATGATTCTGAAATTCGAAAAAGAAGCTGAAATTCCAAACCGATTTTGGCTGATAAAAAACCCTGTAAATCAACTCAAAATGGCTAAAAATCGGCCTAAATTTTGCTGAAAATTAGATGAAAAATAGCTGAAAATGATAGCTGAAAAAAGGCTGAAAATAGCTAAAAAACGGCTGAAAATCGGCCGAAAAATAGCTTGAAAATGGCTGAAAATAGCTAAAAATTAACTTAAAATCTACCTAGAAATATCGGAAAATCGCCTAAAACTGGCTGAAAACATTTAAAAACCTGAGATTTCTGACTGCAAATGCATAAAAAAATATCTGAGAATAGGCTAAAACTGGGCTTAAAATGACTTAAAAAAATGTCTGAAAATGGCTGAAAAATGACTAGAAATGCTCAAAAATTTTGCTGAAATTTATAGCTGAAAATGGGCTAAAAATCGACCAAATAATAGCTGAAAACAGCTGGAAATTGGAGAAAAAATTGCCTAAAATTCGAGCTGAAACAGCCTTAAAATGGCTGAAAATCATAGATCCAAAAATTAGCTGAAAATTGGCTGAAAATAGCTGAAAATTAGCTGAAAATGACTTTAATTAGCTGAAAATTAACTGAAAATAGCTAAAAATTGGCTGAAAATGACTCTAAATAGCTGAAAAATGGCTGGAAATAGCTAAAAATTGGCTGAAAATGACTCTAAATAGTTGAAAATTGGCTGAAAATGGCTGAAAATTAGCTGAAAATGACTCTAAATAGTTGAAAATTGGCTGAAAATGGCTGAAAATTAGCTGAAAATGACTTTAATTAGCTGAAAATTAACTGAAAATAGCTGAAAATTGGCTGAAAATGACTCTAAATAGCTGAAAATGGCTGGAAATAGCTAAAAATTGGCTGAAAATGACTCTAAATAGCTGAAAATTGGCTGAAAATCGACCTAAATCCCCCAATTTTTGCAGCGTTGTCTCCTCGCCGAACCCCTACACGGACCCATCGCTCACCGACGAAAATCTCCGTCAACTGGCGACGGATTTGTCGAAATTCTCGAAAAAATTGGCAAAATTGGTGGGAATCGACGAGGGCGCGCTCCAGAAGACGTCGTCATCGTCCTCCAACGACGAAGCAGACCGCTGCTATCGAATTCTCAAAGAGTGGGCGGAGCGAAACGGGACAAGTGGGCGGAGCCTGTTGAACCTGCTCATCGCCGATTTGGATGTGATAGAGGTGGCGACGGCGACGATGAAGGTACTGTAGGCCTAGTTTTTGGCCTAAAACGCCTATTTTTAGTCCTTAAAGGCCTCATTTTGGGTCCGAAAAGCCTATTTTAAGAACTAAAATGTCTATTTCAAGGACTAGGAATGCCTGAAAAGCCTGTGTGAACGCCTGACCGGCCTATTTTAGGTCTCACAAATTCTATGTTTAGGCCCAAAAAGGTCATTTTCGAGCCTAAAAATGTCTATTTCCAGGCCTAGAAATGCCTGAAAAGGCCTATTTTAAGACCGGTCAGGCCTATTTTTTTAGGCATGAAAAGTCTATTTTTGGACCCAAACATGACATATTTGAGTCTTAGAACGCCTATGTCAAGACCTGCAAAGCCAGAAAAGCCTATTTTAAGGCTTAAAAAGCCAAAAAGGCGATTTTAAGGCCTGACCGGCATATTTTAGGCTCTTAAATGTCTATTTTTGGACCCAAAAAAACATTTTTGGTCCTAAAAATCATATTTCAATGCCTAAAAGCCTATTTGAAGGCCTAAAAGCCTATTTGAGGCTCTTACAAATTCTACTTTTTGGACGTGAAAAGGTCATTTTGGAGCTTAAAAATGCCTGAAAAGGCCCATTTTATGGCCTGACCGGACCATTTTAGGCCCAAAAAGGTTATTTTTGAGTCTTAAAATGCCTATGTAAAGGCCTGAAAAGCATGAAAAGGCCTATTTCAAGGCCTGAAAAACGAAAATCCTAGATTTTGACAACAAATTTTCATTTTTTGAGTCCCACTAGGCCTGTACAAGCCTATTTTTGGAGCTAAAATGCCTGGTTTTGTGTCCAAAAAGCCTATTTCTAGGCCTAACAAGTTCATTTTTAGACCAAGCAAGTCTATTTCAAGGCCTGAAAAGCCTATTTTTGAACCCGAAAAGCCGAATAATCGCTCCTCAAGTATTTCAGAAAATCCACGAAACGTCGACATAGCTCCCCTAATAGGAAATAGGCCACGCCCCCAACCATTGCTCATGTTTAAGGATCTACAAAAATCAATACCAATTAACTCGGAACTCTCCTAATTATCTCTTAATTATCTTTATGAAAAATTAATTTATTTTTGTTGTTGCTACTAATTTTTTTTCCGTTTTTTCCTACTGTAAAACAAAGGATTTTTCTGCTCTTTTTGCCTATTTTTCTTGATTTTTTTGGCGTTTTTTCGCCTTTTTAATACCTGAAATTGGCTTGTTAAAATGCCTAAAAATAGACATTTTAACCTAAATATCTGAAATTTTCAGCCCAAAAAAAAACCTCAAAAATGCCTGCGTTTTTTATGAAATCCAAGCCGAATGGCGGTGGTAAAAAAGGGGGCGGAGCCTCCAATCGAAAGAGGAAATCAATGGGAAAAACGGAGCAAAACGACGAGACCGCGGCGAAGCTATCGAGAAGACAGAAGTTGATGGCGGCGACGGAGATTCATTCGGATGATGAGGTTAGGAGTGGGAGATTTGGCTGAAAATAAGCTAGAAAACTGATAAAAATACGTTTTCAGCTGAAAAATTGGGTAAAAATAGCCTAAAAATCATGAAAATGATCCGCCATCCATGAAAAATGACCCGAAAATCATGGAAAAATACTGGGAAATCATGAAAAATCAACCAAAAATCAATCAAAATGAATCGAAATCCATGAAAATAAGTCCGAAAATCGTGTAAAATGGCCCAAAGCCCATGAAAAAAATGACCTAAAAATCATGGAATTTGACCCGAAAATCTTAAAATTCCGGTTAAAATAAACCAAAAAAAGTGACTGAAAAATGGAATTTTCTGGTTGAAAACTAGGCAAAAAATAATAAAATTTTGAAAGAAATTGATTCGATAAACAGGAATTATGACTTAAAAATTGACAAAAAAAATCCGGAATTAAGCCAAAAATCATGAAATTTTGAAGAAAAATAAGGTAAGATTGAGGAAAAAATGTGAAAAATGGTCCAAAAATCATGAAAATTGACCCAAAAATCTTGTAAAATTGTCCAAAATTATGAAAAATGGTTCAAAAATCCAAGAAAAATGACCAAAAAATTTAAGTTCAAAATTAATGGAAAACCCGGAATTTATGGTGAAAATTAGGTCAAAATTCGGGGTATATTCGGTCCAAAAATGAGGAATGTGGCTGAAAATTTAGCTGAAAATCAAGATTTTTGGCTGAAAAATCTAAAAAGTCCCGGAAATTTCAGGATTCCCTTGCCGGAAGCGCCGTCGGATCGGACGCCGGAAGTGATGTGGAGTATGAGGATGTGCACGAGAGAAACTATCGTGAAGCCAAGAATCTTCTCGAGAAAATTCAGGTTTGTGTCTGTCTGTCTATTGGTCCAGATGTCCGCGTTTTTATAGTTTTTAGAGCCAAATTTGGCCGATTTTGATCGATTTTGACTGATTTTGAGGTCCAAAAAGTGCATTTTCAGTGGTTTCAAAGCCAAAATTGATCAAATTTGACCGATTTTGACGGATTTTGAGCTTTTAAAATTGCATTGTTAGAGTTTTTAGAGACGAAATTGGCCATTTTTGAGTGATTTTGAGTGATTTTGAGCTATTAGAATTCATTTTCGGCCAATTTTGAGCGTTAAAATTGCATTTTTTGGAGTTTTTTGAGCCAAAATTGGCCATTTTTGACCGATTTGAAGCTTTTGAAATTGCAAATTCGAGGGTTACTGTAGATCTGAAATCTTCCAGAGTACTGTAACAACACAAGAGGAAGTGGCCGAGAAGCTTTGCGAGGATGCCGCGGCGCGTTCTGGCACCCAAATGAAGCGAATCGCCGATGTTGTTGAGCTGGACGACGATTTGGAGATTGCCTATAAGGCGCACAGGTACAGTAATCCCTTAAAAATGGCGAAATTTGAGTTCCAAACTGAAAAAACCCGAAATTTGACGAAAAAAGGACTGGAAAATGGGCAAAACTAGGTTAAAAAACCACAGTAATCCTTTTTTCAGATTGACACCACTGTGTGTCGCGTTCTCGCCAGATGGAAACTATGTGATCAGCTGTGGAAAAGAGTCCAGTATTGTGAAATGTGAGTTTTTTCTCTTATTTTGGCTGAAATTGTTCTTAAAAATTAAAAATTTTCAAATTTCCAGACAATGTACCATCTCGAAAAGTGGTCGGAGTCATCAAACGACACAAAAAACGCGCCGGTGTCCCAGAAGAACCGACTCATGCTCACTACGGTGTCATTTTCGCCGTCGCCGTGTCGCCAGACCAGAAATTCGTCGCTTCCGGTGGTTTTGATCAAGCTGTTAAGGTGATTTTTGAATTACTGTACTTCTAAATCCCGAAAATGGTTATTTTTTACCGAAAAATCAATAATTTTGACAGCAAAAATTGCGATTTTGGGCTGAAAATCACTATTTGGGGCCTAAAAATCACTGATTTCAACCCCAAAATTTGGATTTCTTAAGCCGAAAATCACCATTTTCGACCCAAAATTAACTAATTTCTGCTCAAAAATCACTAATTTTAACCCCAAAAAGCGGATTTTTGAGCCGAAAATCACCATTTTCGACCCAAAATTAACTAATTTCTGCTCAAAAATCACTAATTTTAACCCCAAAAAGCGGATTTTTGAGCCGAAAATCACCATTTTCGACCCAAAATTGACTAATTTCTGCTCAAAAATCACTAATTTTAACCCCAAAAAGCGGATTTTTGAGCCGAAAATCACTATTTTCGACGTAAAAATCACTATTTTTGACCCCAAAAAGTGGCATTTTTGACGAAAATCACTATTTTCTATATGAAAATTATTGATTTTAACCCCAAAAAGTGGATTTTTGAGCCGAAAATCACCATTTTCGACCCAAAAGTGGATTTTTTGAGCTGAAAATCACTATTTTCGACCCAAAATTGACTATTTTCGACCCAAAATTGACTAATTTCTGCTCAAAAATCACTAATTTTGACCCCAAAAAGCGGATTTTTGAGCCGAAAATCACTAATTCCGACCGAAAATCACTGATTTCAACCCCAAAAAGTGGATTTTCGGCTAAAAAATCACTATTTCAGACCTAAAAGTAGTACTTTCCTACTGTACTTTTGCTTGGATTACTGTAATTTTCAATTTCTTGCAGATCTGGAATTTCGACACCCTGGACCACGTCAAAGACCTCTCCGGCCATCGTGGACCCATTTTCTCGCTTCAATTCCAGCTGAAAACCAATAATCTGTTCTCGGCCAGTCAGGATCGTGCTGTGAAGGTCAGGGATGATTTTAAGCGATTTTTCGGGCTGAAATTTGTTATTTTTAGCAGTTTTTGACTCAAAAATTTGGACTTTCACCACATTTCTACTGAAAAATTCCTATTTTTAGCTATTTTTAATCTCAAAAACGACATTTTCAGATGTGGGACATTGACCAGTTGGGACTCGTCGACACAATGTACGGACATCAGGATGGCGTTCAACAGATTGGCGTGCTGTCGAAACAACGCGTGGCTACTGTAGGCGGCAGAGATCGTAGCGCGCGTCTTTGGAAAGTCGAGGATGAGAGTCAGCTGGTGAGAGTTTTGGCCGGAAATTTGGCTAAAAATGAGCTGAAAAAGGCTTAAATGGCCCTGAAATTGTTCGAAATTAGTCAAAAATGGCTGACAATGACTTGAAATAGCTCGTGATCGGCTTAAAATCGCTTAAAGTTGCCCTGAATTGATCGAAAATCGAGCTAAAATTGGCAAAAATGGCCTGAAATACCACTAGAATCGTCTTAAAATGGTCTAAAATTGATCCAAGATCGTGAAGAAACGATAAGGATCCATAAGCTACAGTAATCCATCAACTTCCAGATGTTCACCGGCCTATCGAACTGCGTCTCGCTGGACTGTGTCTCAATGATCAACGAGGAGCACTTTGCGACTGGATCTGCTGATGGGTGAGCTTTCTTTGCCTGGTTACTGTAGCTATCTTTTCGAAAATCCCATTTTTTGAAGAAGAAGGAGATTCAGAAGACGTGACGTCTTCTGAATTCCCATGCATTTTTAGTAGTGAATGGTAAAACTAATATTGACTGTTCCCGTCCCAAAAAAGATATGAAAATGCAAATAATAGATGATGAATAAGCCATAAGTTTGTTTTGTAGAGCATAGTCGTCGACTAGAAGAATAGCAAATGATGTTTTCTGGGTTACTGTAGCTGAATTTCGTCTTCTGTCTTTCTCGTTCTTTCTTCAGAAGAACTTCTATCCAAGGCTGCGTTTTTAGTCATTTTATGATCACCATCATCAGAATGAGAAAGATGACCGTAAAACCGTAAAACTCTTCAATTATAAAAACGATNNGGGGCCGTGGGGAAGGATGTTTGTGCATTCTTTCGAAAACAAATTCAGCAACTCAGAAGCTTCCTAGAATTTCACCTATCCCAGAACTACCGTAATCAAAAAAGCCACAGCCCTCCTAGGGAAGGATATATGGAGGCGCAGAGGATCAGATCCGGGTGTCGTTCTATTAGAGGTTTTACGGTAAGCCAATTTTCAGATTTTTTGAGTCATTTTGAACCATTTTTAGGCTATCTCACATCAGGGTCCAGCTGTATTTATGGCTCCCGGACATTTCGCAGCCTCTGATAACGTCAGAAAATCAGAATTCCAAGTTCTTCGATTTAGAAAAAAATAAAGTATATTTTAATGTCAGAAATTGAATTTTCGAAGAATTCGGCTGAAAAAAAAATCAAATTTCAGCTGAAAAAGTAGCAAGCAAGTATTCAATCAATGGAAAAATGCTAAATCTTCATTTGTTATTCGAAATTTCTTTTTAAAATATA